AACTAAAAGTCCACGGAAGTGGCACGTAGAAGTGAGGCCCCAGCACATGGGATATATTGCCAGGAAGGTCGGAATTTGTACTTAAAATTCAAGATTGAAGATTCAAGATTCAAAAGGTTTATTCGTCACGTACACAGTTGTACACATACAACATGTAGTGGAATGTAACCCTGGTCACTCTGAGCAGCTGTGCATGATAAGAGAGTAACAAAATATAGAAAAAAAAAGAAAAATAATAAAATAAAAAATATATGAAATGTTCAGCTGTACATAATCTATACATAAGTGATAGGTAAGAGGTATTTTGCTTCAATATATTCAATATATTGAACTATAATTTGCTAACACTGAACAGTTACCATACTCTGAAAGATGCTGGGTATGAGTTGTGACTGTTGATAATTACTATTTAACTTTTAGGGACAGTCAACTCTAGTGTTAAAATCAACAGATTGTATTTCAGTAGTATCATATTTTATGAATAGCATTCTTTGCAGTGTGAGAGAAAAATCCAAATGTAATACCCAAATGTAATACGAAAGTAGTGAATGTTATGTATATGTATAATCTCCTAGCAATAGAGGAATGCACTAGGCCAGTGGGAACCGTGTGTTCAAGGTCGGATGATACTGTAGCATCAGGCCCTAGTCAAGAAATAGGGAGCACTGAAATACCGGAACAAACCATATAAGGAAACACACAGTAGAACCCAAGATAACTAAACAAAGGGTAAAAAGAACTTTGAGAAGATCTCCCCAGGCCTGTGCTGTGAGATAAACTGAAGGCTGAAAAGACTTTACACTGTCCTGAGTCCTACATCGTGAAATTTCCACAACAGATTTGGGGGCTCGTCTGGGATCGGATGAATGGGGGCCGTTGACGCCAAGACGGACACGAGTCCAGAAGGACAACGAGGCGCTCGTTTGGAGTCCAGAACAACCAATTGTGTCTGACCCATCGTGATTCCTGAGGTGGACGGTTCCCCGTCACTCCGACCGGACTCAGGTAGGACCAAAAGGTGTTTGGACAGCTATATGTGTGGATTGTGATATCTTACTACAAAGGAAGTCGACTGACTGGAAGGGTCATTAAATAAGGTGTTAAAACTGCAGACCTGAGGGTTGCGACCCCAGGGGACGTCTGGCTCGACCAGGAAGGGGTCTAGGGTAATAAGTCAACTGGGAAAAGGTCAAAGGGCACAATTCGACCAAGGAGGGTCAAAGGAATAGATCGATCGGTAAAAATAAATAAATAAATAAATAAATATGCCCCGTTATGTGGTCCCACATTTAAACCAGTTTTGGAAGTATGCTAATTTCACTGTTAATTAAAGATGTCAACATTTCAGGACCATGCCTGGTTTGTACACTCCTGCCTCACTCGGTAGGACAGCCGTCTCCGTTACAGAGTATGACGGGCACTACTCAAGGGGTGCTAGACCTTATCCGGCAACAGGCACATAATGTCATGCGCAGGCACGTGCAGAGGGGGGGGCGGAGGGTGCTTGAGCACCCGCCCCTTTCCTCCAGGATGCCTCAAGTGCCCTTTTCTTGGGTTTTTTGTTGTTGTTGTTGTTTTTATTTTGTTGTTGTTGTTTTTAATGTGTATGTGCGTATGGAGCACTGTCTTTGCCCCTCAACAATAATTTGTAACTATTAATCTCAATTTTTCTAAATA